TAGCTATGGTGCACATTCTCAATGTGTTATTCTATAAAGGTGCTGTCCTCTCTCCCTCAATGTGGAAGGCCCTGCCTGGAGTGTCATTGCTGTCCTTCCATTCCTTCTAGAGCTTTCGCCCGCTCCCACATCGCCACCTGTGCCCTGAAATATCTGATCGCTTCCCCAGTTCTTTCGTTCTTGCCTTTTAATTCTTCATCTGGACTCAAGCTATTGAATTTATGAACTCTCTCCCCCTTAAACTTTGAATTTCCTCCTGTTTTTTTACCTCCTTTCCAAGCATGTCGGTAGAAGCCTCAGCTCCCTCATGCTTCTCTAACTTTGAACTCAGTGCCTTTCAACTCAGCAGCCTGTTTCTGTAACCCCTGTCAGCCTTGTGTACCACTCAGGTTGGAAAATCGCTAACCACACGTCTGATGTGACGTTAACTGGAACACGTCTTTCCCTGGGAAGGAAACTAACTGTATCTGACCACAAAACGCCCAAAAGAAGTGGCGAGTGATGGCGCTGATCCGGGAGAGCCGTCGGGCTGGGCATGGGGAGGGCTGGGGATGGGGGGCACTCTCACCTGGACCGGCCGTATACGCAGGGCAGCCCGCTGAGACAGTGCCCAGACGCCAGAGCCGGCTAGTGACCGGCTGTTTCACGGGGCGGGAGGGGGTCGTCCCATTGCAAAGAGGGTACATGCCTAGCTGCAGGCTACGTTGTCAAGAAAATGCTCTGGGCTCACCTTGATTTGGTGGCACTTAGGATGCTTGGAGGATTTGTACATACTAGTGGGCTCCTGTCTGTAGCAGAGACAGGGCAGCATATCTATACATAATTGAAAAGATATTTCCAAAATAGGTCATTTGAGATGAACGCATTTCTGGTGTCTCCTTGGGAAGCTGCCAGGGCTTCTCCACTGTGCCCCCGGTGACCCTCCTCTCAGTGTTTCTGTGGAAAGATCCAAATGAGTTTGTTTTCTCTTGTAGTCATACTCCAGGAACTTGTGAAATCTGTTGGCATTTTAATAGGGCTGAGACCTAAGATCTTGGGACGGGGACATTAAGAGTGAGATACAGTTCATCAACACAGAGGCCTGTCCAAGAGATGCAGGCTCATAACTAATCTAATGGGACTTCTATTTAAAGAGTCTGACACGATGTTACACTGTGTGTGGCCATGACTCCGGAAAGGTGTCGGCCTGGCTGTTTCATTGTCACTTCTCACCGGAAATGTCTTCTTACTTTGTACAGTGGGCCTAAGACGGTGCATGAAGTGTGTGGTCACGTTTCCTCATGAATGAGCCATAGTAAGTGTTGCTTTTGTGCTTAGAAGTCACCTTATAGGGACGCACAAATGGAAGAGAACGGACTATGAAGGGAAGCTTTGAGGCTGGTTGTTTATAACCTGCATCGTGATGCTCTACCCCTGAAGAGTGAAACCCGGGAGTCACAGCCGTCTCCGGGGAGCTGTGTTCAGCCAGCCCGGGCAGCCAGCAGGCTGCCTTTCTGAAATCCCAAGTGTCACCAGGCTTGTTGGGTGGTCTCAGATTCTGGGATGGGCATTTACCCTGCAAGGGTGTTCCAGGACAGATCAGGGCCCCTCCTTACCGTGCACCCTAATAGTGGTGTGGCTATGATTTGTCATGTCTGTGCTGTGATCCTGACCCCTCCTGTCAGCATGAAAGGTCGAGGAAGGAGACTTCCTCAGGGCAGCATGCTGTGGGTCTTCTCTCCTATGTAGCTCCCCAAGGGGGCTGCTGAGGTTCGCACTAGCGATATTGCTGGGTGGAAAATCGGGAACTTGGGCCTCTGGTTGTTGATGGACCAGTGACTCGCTATCTGACGTTGCCGCTCTGAGATGGCTTCTTTCTCTGGAGAATGAGAGGGCCTGGACTTGGCAAATTTCGGTTTCCGGAGGAAGAAGGCTCTCACACTGCTGGGCTGTGAGCCGGTACAGCCTTCAAATAAGATACCGGCTCGGCCTAATGCCTGCTCGTCAGACCCGTACACAGCACGCAGTCCTTAACAAAGATGAGGTCATTTAATCCTCAAATGATGCTGGGAGGCGGCCCTGTTGCCCACCCTGTAGATGGGAAGTTTATGAGCACAGGTGGGTCTGGGATTCGAGCGCAGGCAGCGGCCTCAGGCCTGTGCTCCTAAACGCCGCACTTGTGTGGGCATCTGGGGGTCTGGGACAGCCCCTTGTCCTTTCGGAAGGACCACTGGACTCCTGTGTGCTCCTGACATCAGGAGACCCGGCCTCTTCCATAACCATGAACAGAGGGCCTGCTTTATGGTTTCATGTTGAGGATCTTTTACGGTGTGTGTGTTTTACTCATCACCACGCACATGAAGGAGGTGAGGCCCAGAGACGGAAATACCTGGGCCCTTGGCTGCGCTGAGGGCGGGGTGCTCATGCTCAGCGCTCGGACTCGTGGCGGCTTTTGCTCACGTGTGAATGCAAGTCGCTGTGCTAAGCAAAAACTAACTGTAATAGATTCATCTCATCATAATGCAGCCAAGTTTAACTTCTCAGCGCTTTAAACTGGGGGATGAGGCTTTCCCCGGGGCAGCCCGCCCGACTTAGTCGCACTGTCTGACCTACTTATGCGCTTTCAGCCGTGGCGGGAGAGCCTCCCGGGACGTGGCAGTGTACGAGAGCCCGGCGGGGGAACTTCTCATCCCCTGATTCATCTCTAGGGCGCTCGGGGCCACACATCACGTAACGTAATCGCCTTCACGCTTGCAGTTTTCACCGAGGCATGGGTCACAAGAGTAATTCCTAACAAGTCATTCTTCACAAGGCGTAGATGACAGGACTTCAGATCCAGGGTATTTTGTCTGACGGAGTTTGGTCAGACGTGAGGGCACGCCCCACTTCTCAGCACTTCTGCTCTGGCTGGAACCCACATGTCACGTGACCAGATGTCTCTTGGGTAACTGGCTCGTTCCTCCTCTGGTTGGGTTAATGGTGGGATGCAGAGATACTGGCCGCTCGAGGAAACCATGCCTTCGTTTGTAAGTAGTCCGGTCTGTGCCAGGACTGTCAGTTTCCTGGTCAATGTGCACCCACTATTGGCTGGTAAACAGTGAGGTGGTGGCGAGAAGACTGGACCGAGCAAATCTGCGGGGTGAGGCCTCGAGCTGACAGAGCACACACTGCCCTCTTCTTCGCTGGAAGGCACGGGGGCTGTGAAAGCCCCTCCAGGATGGATTGGAAGGCTTACGTCCGGGATTAAACCCACAGCGGCCTCTCTGAAAGAACTCAGGAGCCAGCTGAGATTAGTCCTCAGTGGCTGATGCAAGTGAGCAAACACCAAGTGACACATTACTGGCCAAAAACAAGCCTTGTTCTCCTTCCTCAGAATACATACTCCAAAGCCATTTTTTTCTCTTCCATTTTTCTTTTTTTTTAAATCCCTCCCTCCATGCTCCTTGCTTTCCCTATTTCTCCCCTCCCCTCTCTCCCTCAGCCACCGTGCCTTCTCTCTACCTGTCGTTCTTCTGCTCCCACGTAAAACACAATGCGAGGTTTGGGACTTGGGTCCCTAGGGTCACAGGTAGATCCCAGGGGTTCTGTATGTAACCGGATGCCTGGGACCTCTCAAAGGTTCACCTTCACGGTCCTTGCTGTGCCTTCCAGAGACGGTCCGTGCTTGGTTCGTCTTCTGTGACCTAGCCAGTGGCATTCAAGTCTACTTCAAGGGTTTTCTCTAATGCCAGGATTTTTCTAGAATCAGGAAAGACAAGAAAAGTGAGGGAAGATTTTTTTTTTTTGAGAGGTTTTTGCTATAGGGCATGTGCGTTCACCAGACAGAGAGACAGAGAGACAGAAAGCAAGAAATCACCCCCAGGGGGGGATGGCCACGCTGCAGTCCCTTCTCCTCCATTCTCCTCTTGGGATCTTGGGCACGCACGCACACGCACCTGGCATGAGTTTTAAGCTACCGGGTCCGGGACGTGAACCGTGGTCGACTACATGGGAGTCCAGCACCATAGCCATTACGCTAACTGCTGGTTCCATTGAGGGGAAGATTTGATGAGGATTCTAATTAAACTCCTCTTTCCTCATTACATTCTTGTGGAGCAATTCAGAAGCACTTCATCTTTGGGTTCCCAAATGTGGAAGTTGGATTTCCACCATAAGACTAAGTTCTCTGGTTTCCTTTAGCCTTGCCTCCTGGCCTGCTCCCCAGACCATGTCCCCTTTACACTTGGGCCTTCGGACGTCTGTAGTTCTTGGGCCTATTCGAACATTCCATTTTTCTTCTCTTTCACATCCATTGTCTCATACTAGCGGGTCCAGGGGCACACGCGTGGTGCTGGCTGAAGTTTCTGTTAGAGCTGAAGATTGTAGGTGGATTCTTCGGAACGTCCTGCTGGGATTCCGACCCACTGCAAAAGTGACAGCAGCAGTTTGAACCTGGCCCCTCAGAACTCCCACCACCACAAGACAGAGAGCACCAGAGCAGCCCGTTCCTGCCCTCTTCCATCCGTGTCTCCCACCAAACCCGAGCATGCCCACCTCGCCTGTCTGCCCTGGTCCGGAGCAGGCTCCTCCAGCTCCTCTTCCATTCTGGGCAGTCTGGTCTGGCCTGCCCTGGCCAGCGCAATGACCCAAAAGGACTTTGCAACTTGGATTCTGTGGTGTGGAGCAGAGCAGCTGGAGAGGGAGGGCTGAATTAATGCCCTGAGCCTCAGCGATGCAGTGGACGATGGTTTCTGCATGGACCTCCCTCTAAGAGAGCCAACACGAAGGCAAAGAGGCCCAGCGTGGCTCTTTCTCCAAGAACGGAGGAGATCCCCCATCTCTAAACTGAAATAAGTGCTAGTCTGCTCTGGTCAGCGGAGCTGTGCTGGAACTCCGTCTCATGCCCGATTGCGTACTGGACGAAGGGGGGTCAGAGGGAGAACGAGCAAAGCTCCCCACTGGTGACACAGGTCTTGCAAATGACCTTGACTCAGTCACGGTTGGCAGTGTCCTCTGATGAATCTCTTCTCTTTTGCTTTCAGCTCGGGGACCTGCTTCACAAATTGCAGTTCATCATGACGTACGTGGCTCCGTGGCAGATGGCGTGGGGCTCTTCCTTCCACGTGTTCGCCCAGCTCTTCGCAGTCCCTCGTATCCTTCCTGTTTCTGTTTTCGCCCCCAGGCTGAGATTCACATTTGACCACTGCAAGCTTTTCCGTGGACCTTGGCAATAGAAAGACGCAAAGCCTTTACGATTACATTTTAATGGGCGGCATGGGGCGGGGGGGCACCTACATTCCTTTCAGGCCCCTTACCCTAAAAGCCGTGCTTATTAATTTTGAAGTCTTCCTGCTCCCTCGTGCTTATGTAGGAGGCATTTCATTTTTTCTGGTCTTCCGTTTCCGATGGCCAGAACTGCGCCAGGGCACACCCCCATGTCTTAAATGGACGTTATTGCTGAAGTGGTTAGAGCGACTTGTGCAACACAGTGCAAGTCGGTGCGCTGTTACTCCACATCGCGGGCAGGGCCGAGGCGTCCGACTACTGTTATAAATTCTATGTTGTTTCGTTACTTTTAGAGAGTTATCATATAGGTGCATTAGGAACATTCAAAAACCCAGAATTAGGTACAAACAACTTGCTAAATAATTTTGAAAACTAAAAAAAATTGGGAGGTTGGAAAAGTCATGATGCGTGTTCACACAGAAGACGCAAAGACACGTCACGGCTCTTCCG